TTATACCCACCAGCGGCGTGTGAAGATTCCCATTGCTCCACATCCTTGCTGGCATTTACTGTTGTCAGTCTTTTTTTAGTTTAGTCATTTTAGGGGACATGAATACCACTGTGGTTTTAACTTGCTTTTCCCTGATGACTGGGTATGAACATTTTTAGTTTTGAATTCACCTCTGCAGAAGCTGTACGTTATCAACATTTCATACTTAAAGTATTTTTTTTTCAGGGTACTGTGAAAATTTCTTCTTTAGTCCTGATGCCACTCAAATGTTTGTACTTAATGTTAATTAATGAGATACTCAGAAACTATAAGACGTGTTAATTGATGAATGATTTAGTCTTACCTCATGAATTGTGTGGGGTATTTTAACATAAAGAAGACTCATGAGAGGGGCGCCTGGCTGGCTCAGTCGGATAAGCATGTGACTCTTGATCTCAGGATTGTGAGTTTGGGTCCCGAGTTGAGTGTAGAGATTACTAAAAAAAAAAATAAAACTTTAAAGAAACAGAGAGAGGACTCATGGAGGAATGGGAGATGAAAGGGTAACTCACAGACAGGGACATTTCTGTAGATTATGTGTTAGCACTTAGGTTAAGTCTAATGCTCCTTTTAGAACTCCCTCTTTAACTCAGTGTGTAGTAAGCATCTGTCATGCACTCAGCCATTATTCCATTTTTTTTCATGAGAGTAAAGTTTTTGTTAGTAGGTATGAAGTGAATGCAGTAGGGAGTAACAGACTCACTCACTAGATCTTTGGGTTCAGGAGCACTGATTAACAGAAATTCATGCTAATATTAACAGAAACATTAACAATATTAAGTTTTATACTAGGATGCATACTTGTCAAATTCAGAAAATATTTTTGATTAATCAGAGTGGATCAGACATTTAACTTCACTTTTTCTTAGAACATTACTGAAATGTCAGAAAGGTATTCTTTTTTATGGGTTTTATTTGTTTTTAAGATTTTATTAGAGAGAGAGAGCGCACGTGCATACTTCTCGGGGGAGGGGCAGAGGGAGATGGAGATGGACTAGCAGGGAGCCCAATGCCAGACTCTATCCCAGGACCCTGAGATCATGACCTGAGTCGAAGGCAGATGCTTAACCGACTAAGCCACCCATTTTTTTAAAAGATTTTTTTATTTATTTGAGAGAGAAGGAGAGAGAGCACTAGCATAAGCAGGGGGAGGTGCAGAGGGAGAAGCAGACTCCCACTGAGCAGGGAACCTGATATGGGACTCGATCCCAGGACCCTGACATCATGACCTGAGCCAAAGTCAGAGCCTTAACTGACTAGCCACCCAGATGCCCCCAGAAATTCATCCTTAAAGGCAGAAACCCACAGCCACAGAATGGGTGAGGAAGCAGCAGCAGATGTGACATCCAGAAAGTTCCAGAAGCTGAAAGGCAGGTGGATGGGTGGCAACTGGCTTATTACACCACAGAAAGCAGAAAGCTGAGTGTCTACAGGAACAATGTTGAGTCCTGCCTGGGAAGGTTTGGGAATGGGAAGCACGGAGGTGCCTCTAATGTCAAGCATTCAGGGTTGGACTGGCAACGGGAGGTTGGGCTGAAAGCCTATAGAAGAAACACTTCGACATTTATAAGCCCTTTCTGCCAAGCGGGAGGCTGACACTTATTTCCTAGAGCGCCTGAGCTAGAGGAAATGTGGACGTGGATCAGGCACAACTCAAGGAAGGGGTATTAGGTAGAAAATGAGGATTGAGTGAAAATCTTACCACCTGAATGGCAAGAGCCTTAGCCTGCTTTCTGCAGCTAGCATCTAGAACTGTGGTGGCTGGTCTCTTGCTTCCTCTCTGGGAAACTGGCTACTCGTCCAGGAGATAAAACCTCCAGATACTCATATTATTAAAGGCCTCCCAGCAAATGGCCCAAGCCCTCTTCATCCTACGCTGAGGACTGACCACTCCTGAAGACTTGCCTTTAACCACAGAGCTGCTTGTTGCCTCATTTAAGAAAGCCTCAGATAGGAAAGACGGAAACCAGATCAGTCGGTCAGACGCAAAGAAGCTCAAAGGAAAGAAAATGGAGAGAACAGATGAAAACTTTAAAAAAATGAACAGTGTCACAGGTTAGAGAGGATATTGTATACATGAAAACAAGAATAAGGAGCGCCTGGATGGCTCAGTTGGTTAGGTGGCTACCTTTGGCTTGGGTCATGGTCCCACGGTCCTGGGGTTGAGCCCCACATCGGGGTCCTTGCTCAGCGGGGAGCCTGCTTCTCCCTCTCCCACTCCCCCTCCTTGTGCTTGCTCTCTACCTCTCAATCTCTGTGTGCCAAATAAATAAATAAAATATTAGAAAAAAAAAACTGTTTGCTTGTTTTTATTTTTTAAGATTTTATTCATTTATTTGACAGAGAGAGAGAGTACAAGCAGGGGGAGAAGCAGGCAGAGGAAGAAGCAGACTCCCGCAGAGTGGAGAGCCCGACGGAGGGCTTGATCCCAGGACCCCGAGATCATGACCTGAGCCAAAGGCAGACGCTTAACCAACTGAGCCACCCAGGTGCCCCAGAGCTGTTTTAAAATAAGAAAAACATTCAGAGAAAGAAAATGTTCTTAGAAGATAGAAAGTGTGATGGCCACAATAAAAAATTAATTATGGGGCGCCTGGGTGGCTCAGTCAGCTGAACCTCTGACTCTTGATTTCAGCTCAGGTCATGATTGCAGAGTCATGAGATTGAGTCCCAAAGTCGGGCTCTGTGCTGAGCGTGAAACCTGCTTAAGATTTGCTCTCTCTCCCTTTGCCCCTCCATCCCTTACTCGTGTTTTCTTTCTCTCTCTCTAAAAATATTAAATTACAATTAAAAAATTAATTAGAAGAGTCAAAGGATAAAATTGAGGTAGCATCCCAGAAAGTTAATCCAAAGGCAAAGAGAGGAACAGTGTGGCAGAAAAGGTAGAGATGATCAGTCCATGAGGCCCAAATCTGAAGATGAGCATTCTGAAGGGAGGGAACAGAAAAGCAACAAGGGACAAATGATAAGGGAAATAATACAAGAAAATTCCCAGAAGTGAAGGTCATGAGTGTCCAGACTGCAAGTCCCACCAAGTACCCAACACAAAGAATGAGAAACTTCACAAAGCTTCAGGACATCAGATATAAGAAAAGAATCCAAATCTTCCAGGAAGCAAATGTAGGTGATAGGGATTGATATTCGGATTGGTATTCAGATTGGTATTCGGACTGATTGAGAGACTACAGCCCTACCGGAAGCGGGACACTATATAGCAGTGCCTTCGAAGCTGTAAGAGGAAGTTATCCCCAGCAAAGAAAATGACCCAACCAAAGACAGGGGTGAAGGAAAAGACTTTCAGATCGGAACAATCTTAAGTTTACCTTCTGTGTACTTAAAAAAAAAAAAAATCCAAGAAAGAATAAACAAAGAGGAAGACCTGGGATTCAGAAACAATGTTCCCAACACAGAATGAGAGGGAATTCCAGGGATCACAGGAAGGGAATTCCAGGACAAGGCCCGTGTAACTGGCCTAGAGAGCAGCTCTGCTTAGGAGCTCAAGAAGGGTATGTTGTTTGTTTTTTTAATTTTTTAAGTAATCTCTACACCCAACTTGGGGCTTAAACTCAAAACCCTGAGATCAAGAGTTGCACACTCCCCTGACTGAGCCAGCCAGGCACCCCAAAAATGATATGTTTTAAAAGTGATAGATTGGGCGCCTGGGTGGCTCAGTTGGTTAAGCGACTGCCTTCGGCTCAGGTCATGATCCTGGAGGCCGGGGATCGAGTCCTGCATGGGGCTCCCTGCTCGGCAGGGAGTCTGCTTCTCCCTCTGACCCTCCCCCCTCTCGTGCTCTCTTTCTCTCTCATTCTCTCTCTCAAATAAATAAATAAAATCTTTAAAAAAAAAAAGTGATAGATTATCTGTTGGTACATATGCTATAGTTGTATATCTGTCAGTGTTTAGAGATACATAGGCAAGGATTTTTTTTTTTTAAGATATATTTATTTATTTGACAGAACAGCAAGAGAGGGAACACAAGCACGGGCAGTGGGAGAGGAAGAAGCAGGCTTCCTGTGCCAAGCAGGGAGCCTGATGCAGGGCTCGATCCCAGGTCCCTGGGATCATGACCTGAGCCAAAGGCAGATGCTTAACGACTGAGCCACCCAGGTGTCGCAAAGATTTTTTTTTTAACATTTATTAGAGCATGAGCTGGGGCGGGGGGGGCAGGGGGAGAGAGAGAAGCAGGCTCCTGCTGAGCTGGGAGCCTGGCACGGGGCTTGATCCCAGGACCCTGAGATCATGACCTGAGCCGAAGGCAGACACATAACCAACTGGAGCCACCCAGGTGCCCCAGCAAGGATTTTTTTTTAAATGAAGGAATGAGACAGTTTTACCAACAGCATGCAAAATAAAGTGGAAATGAGAAAGAAAAATGTATCCTAGTACACAGTGTGGGTCAGTTGTGAATAATATTTACAAAGCCATAGCAGGGTAAACGTGAATATTAATTTGCCCCAGAATCCTGTTGAATTGTAGTGGGAAGCTGGAGAAGGGGAAATAATATATCATTGGGGGGAAGGAATAGCGAGAACTGAGAGAACTAATCCTCTTCTTCCACAGTAGGTAGTCTTTAAAACTGAAAAATCCATAAAAATAACAGTATAAATATTATTTTCAATGGAGGGTAAATATGAAAGGAAGTATAGAAAACCAATAAAGTTCAGAAAAATCTTTCAACCTTTGAAAAATGACTTTTTCAACGATAACGAAGACTAAATTACATACTCATATTCTTAACATGTTCTGAACAATCTGTTAATTTCTATAGGTAAAGGGTTATTGACTGCATAGAGTATTTCCTCTCTAAATACACTATTAATCCAAGCAGATGCAATTTGCACTGGAGAGGTTTCAAATTTTGTTGTGTCACACGTATTAATTCACCTATGTCCTTTCTTTTCCCTCCTATGCCAAGTGTTGTTTTGAACCTTAAAACAACTTGTTTTTCTTGTCTTCAGAGAGTGGAAGTTGTCTTGGCCCCGAGCCAAGGGGAGAAAGCCAGCGTCAAGAGAGAAGCCAGGAGAGCAGCCCGGGCTGTCACCCGATGGACAGGCAGGCCGAGCCCCCGAGCCTGCTGGTAACTGCGGGGAAGCGCCACACGGAGGAGCCGCTGTGCGGCGCGGCGGCCGCGCGGGAGCTGTACGCCCCGCCCTGGCCCTCGGCCGGGAGCCGCTCGGAGGACGCCTGTGAGGATGACAGCCGCCCGCAGCGGCCTCAGACGGAGGCCTGCCGCGATGTGGCCGCAGCCGGAGGCCCCGCCGCAGCCCCCGCCGCAGCCCCCGCGGCGTTGCTCCCCAGTGAGTCCATGCTAGAGCCGTTGACCTCACCCGGCTCTGACCTCTTAGCTCCGGCGCCCGCCTCCGAGGGACAATATTCCCGGACTCAAAGAAAGGGACTCCGTTTGCCACTTAAGGATGCTCCTGAGGCGTTGCCCACGGACCGCCTTGAGAACAGTGACTTCAGTGAGCTGCAGCAACCTGATCTCACAGACAGCGATGGAAAATCACCACGCGGGCCGCCGGACCCAGAGCGCTCCGAGAGGGCACTTCGTGAGAGTAATCAAGTGTCTGACTTAAGTGCGGCGCGTCCAGAGGTGTGTATGGCCCCCGAGGAGAGGGGGGGTGAGGACAAGCACGTCAGTAAAGAGACGGAAGACTATTTGAACAGCCTGTTGGAAGGATGCTTAAAAGAGACTGAAGACTCCCTGTCATGTGAAGACAACCAGGAGGAAGACTCGGACCTTCTTCCAGATCTTTCTCCTGAAGAAGCCTCCTACAGTCTGCAGGAGGATCTGCCTTCCGACGAGAGCTGTCTTTCTCTTGATGATCTCGCAAAAAGGATAGAGATTGCAGAGGTAAGTATGGGATTTAACAGAAGTGCAATTAAAAGTAAAATGAAATTTTAAAAGCACATCTGTACTAAATAGTGCCTTGTTTTTGTAAATTTTCCCCGGTTTCCAGCATGAGGGGGAAATCTATTTAACTTAAACTTCTAATAATTAGTAGTTTTATTTTTCATATTGAATAGGAAATGAATAAGATTGAATAAGATGGCTTTTGGTCATGATGTTTATACTTCAGGAACTTTTATTGCATGCCTCCAGGGACAGTAAGTGTTATGAACACTGTTTTTTATACTGCTGTGACTTTTATTTGACAGTTCTGGCAATTATGATCAAGACAAGATTAGTTACATTCTTATAAGGAAATCTCATTTTTTCCCTCATAATACTCTTATGATTATTAATATATTTTTTAATTCTTTAAAACAGTACAACAGAACAAAGGAAACATTTTAAAATACAGTAGGACAAGGAGATACTGGGTAGATTTTTAAGTCCTTAAGTTGTACGTTGTGAATCTTCTCTTTCTTGTAGTATTAATTTATAAGCTGTAGGTTTGAACAAACTTCATACTTACTGCTTGACTAAGTCAAATGTTATACATAATCCAAAGTTTCCCCAAACAGTTATGAAGATGGTAAAAACAAAAAATGACAGAGAGGATCAAGATGACCATTCTCCTTTGTTTGATAATAAAATTTTTTAAAGTTAAGGGAAAAAAAGGGGCACCTGGGTGGCTCCATTGTTTAAGTTGTCTGCCTTCAGCTCAGGTCCTGATCCCGGGGTCCTGGGATCAAGTCCTGAGTAGGGAGCCTGCTTCTCCCTCTCCCTCTGCCGCTCCCCCTGCTTGTGCTCTCTCTCTTTCTCTCAGATAAATAAACAAATATCTTTAAAAAAAAAAAAAGTTAAGGGAAAAAAAAGCCATATGCAAAGTGTAGCCCCCTGGGAAGGTGGCCTTGTATAGTGGAAAGAGGTCTTAGTCTGAGGTCACATACGGACCCACCAGCTAGCAGCCCTACAGAGTTCCTGCTGACCTCTCCACGTCGCTGTTTCCTCCCCTGAAAATTAGGATACCAGCTACTCTTCCTGTTTTTCATCTTATAGTTTTTTCCAAGTCAGCTTTTAAGTCCCATTTATAGCCATTGTTTTCTAATTCTGCATCATCATTGGGGGGTGTGTGGGGGAGGAACAAACTTCGAGCAGAAACTGGAAAAGCAACAGAGCCAAAGTAGGCACCAGAGTGCCCGGGAAGGCGGAGCGCTGTGGGAGCTTGCTCACTCCATCGGCGTGAGGTCACTGGCTCCCTGCATTGCCGCCTCTCGTCAGCTCCCCAGCAACTAGTCTTCATTTTGTCTTGACAAAGTTGGATAGAATAGTAAAGCACTTGATCCGGTATTCATTCATTTGTTTATTTTAACCAGATTTGTATTACCACTTACAAGTCAGCCCTCTATAAACTATGATTTTTTTCTTCCTAATTTCCTCTTGAAATTGTTTCATATGCTTAATGAGTGCAGAGTTTCTGTCTGGGTGGATGGAAATTTTAGAAGTCGCTACTGGTAGTGGTGGCACAACGCTATGAATGTAACTAATGCCACTCAGTTGTTAAAATTGCAATTCTATGGTAGACGTATCTTACCACAATTTTTTCTTAAAGTTAAAAAAAATTAAATAGAGGGCACCTGGCTGGCTCAGTCGGTGGGGCAGGTAACTCTTGCTCTTGGGGTCGTGAGTTCAAGCCCTACCTTAGGTGTAGAGATTACTTAAAAATAAAAAAAAAATATTTGAAAGAAAAGTGTTTTCATTTTCAAAAAATTAAATAGAGCCAGTAGTAAAGCACTGGACCCAGCATTCCTTCCCTTGTTTATTTTCACCAGGCCTCTGATACAGGGAACTATCAAAACAGAAGTCATACCTGGATTCAAATCTAGCTGTAATACCACAAGGTCAGCCTTCTCTGACCACCGCTTTTCACACCAATAATCAAGTTGACCATCTGGGGAAAAGACAGAAGGTCTAATTTTACCTTTTTAGGTATAAACAGTGAAAAAGGGTCAGAGCTCACCTACTGCATCTCCCTGCTTTGCAGAACACTTACAGTGGGGGTTTGCTGTTGAACTCACATTGTATTACAACCAAGCGGAGTGTTCCTTCCTCAGCCTCATAACGTCAGTTTTCCCTACTGGATAATACCTAGCAGGTGGTGGAAACTATTCACATTTTTAAAGTTGTCTTTCCTGTGAAGTTATTTTTTTATGTGTGATGGTTCCCTTTCCTAAAATTCTATTGATCTGTTAAGTTGTGCTGTTTTAAGAAGCTCAAAAGCTACATATAATTAACAAAACTAATTTGCATTCCTGTGATAATGCTGAACAGACTGTTTCCAAATATTTCCTTCTCCATTCTGAGGAGGATACATCAATAAATTCTGCCTTACCCTGTTAGGAAAAGAGTTTTTAAAATTTCAAAACTTGAAAAAAAATAATAAAATAAAAAAATAAAATTTCAAAACTTGGGGTGCCTGGGTGGCTCAGTCAGTTAAGAGTCTGCCTTCGGCTCAGGTCATGATCCCAGAGTCCTGGGATCGAGCCCCGCATCGGGCTCCCTGCTCAGCGGGAAGCCTGCTTCTCTCCCTCTCCCTGCTGCTCTGCCTACTTGTGCTCTCTCTCTCTCTCTCTGTCAAATAAATTAAAAAATCTTTAAAACAAAAGAATAGAATTTCAAAACTAAAAAATCACTAATGCTTACAATTTCCTTAATACCTTAAGAGTGAAGTTTTGGGCCAAGTAAAATGTCCAGGTGATAGTGGGTTTGCTTATAAGTGCAAACTTCTTCTTTTTAATTAATTTATTAATTTGAGAGAGAGCACAAGAGGGGGGGAGGGTAGGAGAGGGAGAAGCAGACTCCCGGCTGAGCAGGGAGCCCAACATGGGCCTCGATCCGAGGACCTGAGTCACCCAGGCACCCCCCCAAACTTCTTTTAAATCCAAACACCATTGCATGCTCTCAGCAGAATTCTCCTAAGGCTATCTCCCATCAAGTGCTGAGGATACAGCGAGGAATCAGATGAACTTCTGATTTCATCTCTTGGGGGCTCACTTGGGTAATTTTACCGGAATTGTTTTTAAAATATTTTTCATGCTTCCGTACTTGGGTGAGTTGGGGATACGGAGCAGAGTGTCCACATGGCTGTGCCATAAGGAGCTCTCTGGTCTCTCTTCCCACCCTGCCCTTTCTCCTGTGAGTGACTCTTACTCAGCGATTTCCTCACTGCTCCCCACTCTTCCGACCTTTGTGATTATGGTGGAATGATCTTTCACTGCCATGTTTTCCCTTTTTGCTGGTCTTCCTGCTCTCATTCTCTTGCTACTCCTGCATTGCTCAGCTCTGTCTGCGGCACTCCTGGGCCTTGGCAGCCACCACCAGCCTAGCAGGAGTGTTTGCTGTGTCTTTTAAACAACCAGGTTCATCCCATCAGATGAAACAATTCATGCAAAATCTCTTAGAGAACTAAAACGATCTACACTAGTTTAATTCAGTGATGCAGAGACATGTGTAAATGAAACTTTTCTGGGTTTGAGGAGAATTTTTAAATCCAGAATAACTTTGCTAAGTAGAATGATAGCTTAGTGTCTGGAGCACTAATGTTCTTTCTTACATAAAAAAGACCATGACACACTCTCACCAGAAGTGTAACCTGCTCTTTTAAAAAGCATCAAAAACATTGAGGCTCATTTCATAGATTTTTAAGATTTTATTTATTTATTTGGCAGAGAGAGAGAGAGCGAGAGCAGGAACACAAGGAGGGGGAGTGGGAGAGGGAGAAGCAGGCTTCCCACGGAGCAGGGAGCCCGATGCGGGGCTCAATCCCAGCACCCTGGGATCATGTCCTGGGCCAAAGGCAGATGCTTAACAACTGAGCCACCCAGGTGCCCCTATTTCATAGATTTTTAACATGAGAAGTTTATCACATGTGCAGCGTTAGCAAGGTAGAGATTCACTCTTTTGTTCCCTCCTCAGTAGTTTTGACGTAACTGCTGTGTGTACCACGACATCGCAGATGCAATGACTGAAAATTCAGATAGGGACACTCCGTGTGTAAAGCCTGCATTCCCAACAGGTGTCCAGGTGTTATCTGTTGGCTGAATTTAACTATCCTAGTTTTTGGGAAAAGATGAAATCTTATTGTAATACCCATAATATTCTGACATGATTATTTTAATGTCAGAACCCAAATCCCTTTCCCCAAGGAGCCTGGTAATGCCAGTAAATCATTGACTTGCTTGGTTCTGGAACCTGGGAGGGTTGTGTTAGCTTCTCTTTAAAACCCTTCAGCTGAAATAAAAAAAATAAAAATAAAAAATAAAACCCTTCAGCTGTTCTCCGGCACCTGGGTGGCTCAGTTGGTTGAGTGTCCGACTCTTGACATGGGCTCAGGTCATGATCTCAGGGCCGTGGGATTGAGCCCCATGTCAGGCTCCGCGCGCAGCGCAGAGTCTGCTTCTCTCTCTCCCTCTGCTCCTCCCCCCACTTCTGCGCACATACTCTCTCTCTCTCTCAAATAAATTCTTAAAAAAAAAACAACAAAAACTCTTCAGCTGTTCCTAGCATCAAACCCAAGACAAGAAATATATTCTTCAAATTCAAGGTGGTATAATGATTCAACACCATATTGCTAATAAAAGCCACTCAGCTTTTGGTAGATTGTTCCATGAGGGAGTGGGGATGAGGGAGTTGTTTTATTTTCTGAATGAGTGACATTGAATATTGGGTAAATTTTATGATAATCAATCTGTCTTGGGGCACCTGGGTAGCGCAGTTGGTTGAGCATCTGCCTTCGGTTCAAGTCATGATCCCAGGGTCCTGGGATCGAGTCCCACGTCTTCTCCCTCTCCCTCTGCCTGCCATTCCCTCTGCTTGTGCCCTCTCTCTCTCTCAAATGGATAAATAAAACCTTTAAAAAAAATTAATCTGTCTTTTCACATTGAAAATAATCATAGTGTATAATTCAA